AGAAGGAAACTAGGATTTCCAGATGACTTGCCGCCCTCCTTACATTGCTTGTGCAGCAAACACTCACTCAATGTCTCCTGTGTGTGGCATGGTCCTTCAGGAAATCAGTGCATCGACTGTCAACATGATGCATTTCTCCAAGAGCCCACTACTTCTGGACTCCATTCTTCTTGGTTGTAGTCACTTAGTTCTCATTGGTGCAGACCCAAACTATTAAAAATAATTATTGCATTCTGAGTATCTGGTTTTCCGAAGGCTATGGATGACTGTGAAAGCCCAAAATCCATGGGCAGCCTCCCCACCTGGGTTAAGCCTCTGGAGAATCCCCTCTGACTAGGGTTGTGAATAGCTTTGCTATCAGATGGAGTGTATCAGAAAGCGGATTAAGGTTAAGGTAGTTAGATGAAAACTTAACGCCGTATAATAGTTCTCTCTTTTGACCTATCTTAAATTGCTTTCGTTTTTATGATTTTCTCCTATCTTTTGGATTGAGGTTTTTCCTGTGGGTTGTTGTTTGGTTTTGTTTTTTTGTAATTATTGTTTAGGGAGAAGTTGTATGCTTTTCTTTATATGAAATCCAGGATAGGTAAATCATTAGAAACAATAAGTAGATTAATAGTTTCTTGGGATTGTGAGTGGGGAGGTAAGGGAGAGATGGGGAACTAATAACATTGAACACAAGAATGAAGAAAAGATTCTAAGATTGTGGTGATGATTGCATAATTCATTTTATTTATTTTATTTTATTTTTTGCATAATTCTTTTTTGATATGTTGAAACCATTGAAATGTCTGGTATGGATGTAATATGTCAACCGAACTGAAGAGAAAGAATGGTAACAAACAATGTATTGGAATTAGCATGATGAAATGGGTTATGTGTAATATGGGGAATCCTCAAGTGGTGCACACAGTGAAGTGTTCAGTTACTAACCAAGAGTTGGCAGTTAACACCCACCCAAAAGCCCTTTGGAAGGCAGACTGCTTTCTGAAAGGTCCCAGGTTTGAAAACCCCGTGGGGAAGTTCTACTCGTCTCACTCCTGGCTGCCACGTGTTCGGATGAACTTGGCAGCAATCAACAATCACAACAGCCACGTATATAATTTTTGCGATATAAGTGTGTTACACTTCAAATAGATTGCATTTAAGTCTTATCATACTAATAAAATAATAGCTACCAAGTAAATAAAATATTATAATAAAATATAAACATTTATTACATTGACTGTTTAATATAAAGTAATATTGATTTTTTATGTTACATGTAATCAAAAGAATACATTGTAAATAGAATACATTTATTATAATAAGTGAGATATGTTACACAAAAGGAAGCAAATAGTTCCCATCCCCTGGCTCCTAGTTCACGAAGACTCCTGTGTGTGTGTCGGCATACAACTGCCCTCCGCTGGGTTTTCAGTGGCCTTGACCTTTTAGCAGTAGATTGCCCAGCCTTTCTTCTGAGGCACCTTTGAGTGGGTTCAAACCACCAACCTTTTGGTTAGTAGCTGAGGACGTAACTGTTTGCATCACCAAAACTCAGTGCTGGATAAACGGTGATTATTGTTACTCTTTCTATCCCCAGAACCATGACATTTAAAGCCGTTGCTCAGCTATTTATCCTGGGCTGTTCCTGGGGTCTTGGTTTTCTTATGGTGGAAGGAGTAGGGAAGACGGCGGGATTAGTTATCGCCTACATGTTCACCATCATCAATGTCCTGCAGGGGGTTTTCATCTTTGTGGTGCACTGCCTCCTCAATCGCCAGGTAAGTCTAATGA